ATACCTGTCCATCGTAAAATGGAGAACCTGTGACGTGTTCCTTTAATGGAATTCCAGACCGACTTCCAAATGAGTTGGTCACAGTGAGACGTAAACATGCTGCACTTTAAGATTGAGTCTAAGATCGGGTGACAAAGGCAGGTCACAGTCGGCCTTGGGCCAGGCACTGCTGTAAGTGCTGTGAGGCAGAGGTCCCCAACATTCCTGGTACAAGGGACTGACCTCCTGAAAAGGTGTCCTTCCTCGGACCGTGGGGGTTTGAGTGTTGGTCCCAGGTAACCCAAGCACACCAGATCCGCCTGCACCCCTGACCCCCTAATGCCTGTCCATCATAAAATGGAGAAACTGTGACATATTCCTTTAATGAATACCAAACAGACGTCCAAATGAGTTGGTTATACTGATACGTAAGCATGCTGCACTTTAAGATTGAACTTAAGATCAGGTGATGGTACCAGCAGGTGGCATGTTGGTTAAGGTGCTAGACACTCCCAAATGGCTAATCTTGGTTCAAGTCCCGAACCTGGTGGCTTGCTTTCTTACTTCCCCCTCCCCTTCTCTCTGTGTTTCTCTCTAGTCAAATTAAAATAAATGAATGGATAAATAAAATTAAATAAAATAATTCTTTAAAAAAAAAGATCAGGTGACAAAGGCAGATCGTGGAGTAATTGCCAAGGTCAGCTCTGGGCCAGACCCTGCTCTAAGTGCTGTGAGGCAGTGGTGTTCAACATTTCCTTTGTTTTTTAATTTATTCCTTCTCTACATTAATTCACTTTACACCCTCACAACGCACAAATGCATTTTCCATCCAAAATACACTGCATTGACTCAATCAAGCACATCAACATACATGTTCTCAGCAAATAATTTTCCAATTCTTATGTCCTGCATACCTTGCCTTTTGTTTTGCCATCCTTGATTCCCCATCCCCCACCCTCTGCTATGTCCCATCCTGTCCCTTCCTCCTCCTCCATTGTCCCTGGCAGCCACGGTTGCCCTCCATGCCTCCCCCCCACCCCGTTCAATTGATCTGCCAATGAACTTAATTAGTCTAAATATATCCAATAGCTAGCACAGCTGACACATATGGTCTTCAACATTTCTGGCAGAAGGACTGGCCTCATGGAAAGCTGTCCTTCCCTGGACACTGGGCGGGGTGTTGGTCCCAGGTTACCCAAGCACACCAGATCCGCCTGCACCCCTGTCCCCCACCCACCACATTCAGTATACAGTGGAACAGTCACAAAACAGTAGGGCTCACGCTCTGTGAGAACCCACCAGGAGGGGGGCACAGGCGGCAATGTGAGCGATTGGGAGGGCTGCAAACACAGACCCTCACTCACAGAGCCACCGCCACCCCCTGCTGCATGTTGCAGGGGAGGTGTCCCTCATCAGGCCGAGGACTGCCACCTCAGGGACCCCTGCTTTAAGATACTAATTCAATTTGAGCCTCTTAGCAGCCTAGTGAGTAGGTTGCCTTATTACCCCGATACTCAGAAGCGGTACAGGAAGGTGAGGAAGCTTACCTAAGTGACGTCACAGGAAATCATAAAACTAGCTGTGGAACCCTGACTCCACTCTTCCACCTCTGGAACTCGTACAAGGCAGTTCTGTTCATGTAAGATCATGCTGATTTAAGACCTAGGGTCGTATTTATTAGCGACACGGTTGTGGCATGGCCTTAAAGGCAAACAGAGGACTTACAGACACAGACATAGGAGAGTGGTTACCCATGACAGGAGGGCCAGGGGGTGAGGCTAGAGAGACACAGGGGACTTGGCAGCCTGTGGTGATCTTCCTTTCCTTCGGCCAGGAGTTGGGTATGAGCATCTGTGTGTCCTGACCCTGCAGCCTTACATATGTTCATAACAAATGCTCAGTGTTACAAGTAATTCAAAACAGACAGAAAAGCCTGTGGCCACTGAGGGCTCTGGGGCTCCTCCCACCCCCCTTCTTTGTAGAGCACCTCCGCAGGAAGGAGAAACAGTGGCAGGAGCTGGAGATGACCCACCGGAAGCTGGAAGGAGACTCCACAGACCTCAGCGACCAGATTGCAGAGCTCTGGGCCCAGATTGCAGAGCTCAAGATGCAGCTGGCCAAGAAAGAGGAGGAGCTCCAGGCCGCCCTGGCCAGGTAAGGAGAAACAGTGGCAGGAGCTGGAGATGACCCACCGGAAGCTGGAAGGAGACTCCACAGACCTCAGCGACCAGATTGCAGAGCTCTGGGCCCAGATTGCAGAGCTCAAGATGCAGCTGGCCAAGAAAGAGGAGGAGCTCCAGGCCGCCCTGGCCAGGTGAGGCCCAGCCCTCCAGCCCGTATGTAGGTGGCCGGTGCCGGTGCTCGGCACTGTGGCAGCTCCACGCCGGCCTTCTGCCGTTGTCATGGAGGAACCATTTCTAGGCAGATAGTTCCGATCTATTTAGAACATAGTCTAGGGAATCTTTGTCTTTTGTTTGTTTTTTTACTTGTAATCCCAGAAAAGGCATCCATTACTCATTACTGTGTCACCTGCACATGAGAGTCCTTTCCTTTCCTTTTGAAACTGGCTATAAGCACACAGTTTTTTTTTTTGTTTTTTTTTTTTTTTTTAGAGGAGTTTCAGATTCACAGCAAGATTGAGCAAAAGGTAGAAACTTCCCATTTACACCATCTCCTCGTGTGCATGGCCTCCCGCACTGTCAACACCCTTCTGGAGGGTGCATGTTTTACTGAGGAACCTACACTGATACATCATAATCATCCGATGTCCATAGCCCATTTCTATTTTTACTTACTTGTAGTGATCTTAAAATGTAGCATTCTCAGTTTTTTATTTAATATTTTAATTTTTTAAAATATTTAAATCTGAATTTAGAAAATAAAGTTTTCCAAATCTCAAAGTGGCATTGCCTTAAACCTTTGGGATGTCTTGGGTATTGTTTTTGCTGAGTGATCTCAAGCGCCATGATTATAACTTCTAGAAGCATCTTTGTCTGCATCTCTCCTAAGACCTTTTCCGGAAACTGCTCCTTAAAGGTGAAAATGGCCTCATACTGATGTTGGTTTCTTGCAGAGTGGAAGAAGCCACTCAGAAGAACACGGCCCTGAAGAAGATTTGGGAGCTGGAATCTCAAATTTCCAAACTCCGGGAAGACCTGGAGTCTGAGTGTGCTTCCAGGAATAAAGCTGAGAAGCAGAAACAGGAAGAGCTGGAAGCACTGAAAACAGAGTTGGAGGACACTCTGGATTCCACAGCTGCCCAGCAAGAGCTCAGGTGTGCACGGGGCTCGCTGACTGTGTCATAGAGGGTCAGGTGGCAGCAAAGGGGAGGCTTTGGATTCTGAGGAATTAATCTTGGGCCCCTGAACAAACACTGGTCTTGTTACATACCGGAAAGCATGAGGGTTCCTCAGTAGTTTCTCTCTACCAAGTAGAAGACCTGCTAGAGGACTTGGCTCAGAGTTTAGAGTTGCAGGGGTGGGCTTTAGTGCTGATAGAGTTCAGAGGCTTCTTCAAGTATCTGCAAGTGTGGGCCACAGGACGGATAACCACGGAGGGAAGCCCTTGGGCTGGCAGGCTGCCTAGAGTCATTTGGGGCCTGGCTAGGCCTCTCTGCAGCCATGGAAGAGCCCCATTACAGCATCGCCCATGTCCGTGGCCTACGCTCTGACAGCGCTCCTCCACCCAGGTCCAAGCGTGAACAGGAAGTGAACATCCTGAAGAAGACCCTAGAGGAGGAGGCCAAGTCTCATGAGGCCCAGATCCAGAAGATGAGGCAGAAGCACTCGCAGGCCGTAGAGGAGCTGGCAGAGCAGCTGGAGCAGATGAAGCGGGTGCGGAGGGTCCCCTGCACCTGCCAGGTTGGAGGGCTGTCAGGAGGGACCTCCAGGCCAACCGTGCACTGGGCCTCACAGTCTCTTACCCAGCCCGTAGAACAGAGCATTTCCAGTGTCAGGCTGCCCAGGCTGAGTCCAGCCCTAGCCCTCAGCTGATAGAGTCTCCGTGCCTCAGTTTCCCTGTCTGTGAAGGAGGATAATGATGACGTCATCTGATTATGTGAGGTTTGAACTGGCGATACACGTCAAGCACTCAGAAAGTTCTTGTTAAAGTTGCGCTCTTGCCGTTATTCTATTCAGCAACCTGCCAGGCCAGAGAGTTTCAGGGAATTGGAGCCACCCTGAAACTCAGGACTCTGGTGGTCCCTTTACTGACTACGGGACCCTCTCTAGAACCCCATACAGTGGTCAGCTGGGGTCTTACTGAGAAAATTCTTGCGATGTGCATCCTGACCAGGCAGGTCCTTAACAAGACAATTTCTGCCTTCTGTGACTTTTTGCTCATTGGAACCTTTGGTGGCAGCTGGAGACGTGGCCACCTATAAAGTGCTCTTGGAAACATCCTTGCCCATTTGTGTGCTGTCAGCTTCTACCAGGTACTCCATGGGTTGAGGCCTTCTCTTTTCCAGTGACCCTTGAACTCGCTGATGACCCTGCAGCCCAGTTGGTGCAGACTAGAATGAGATTGTCACGGGGGATTGTCACGGTCTTTTTTTTTTTTTTTTTTTTTTGAGAGGTTTTCGCTATAGGGCGTGTGCACTCGCCAGACAGACAGAGAGAGAGACATAGAGACAGAAAGCGAGAAATCACCCCCCAGGGGGGATGGTCACGCCGCAATCCCTTCTCCTCCATTCTCGGGATCTTGGGCACGCACGCACATGCGCCCAGCGTGAGTTTTAAGCCACCGGGTCCAGGACTCGAACCGTAGTCAACTACATGGGAGTCCAGCGACATAGCCATTATACTAACTGCCTTTTCCCTGTCATGGTCATTTTGCAAACTTCAGTTTTATGTTTCTTGAAAGAACACTACTTTTGTACATTAGTATTTTTTTAAAGAATTATTTTATTTAATGTTGTTCGTTTGTTTATTAATTAATTTTAATTTACCTCAGAGTGACAGAGTGAATGCGTGCGTGAGAGTGTGAGTGAGAGACAGAAAGAGAGAGTGAGAGAAAGCAATCGCCAGGTCTGGGACTCAAACTGAGGTCAGCCATGTGGGAATCCAGCACCCATAACCACCACTCCACCTGCCGGCCCCTCCGGAATTTTTTTTATAGCTCTGTTTTATTGATTATATATTTAGCTTCCTGAATCTACCTCCTCTTCTCATGCCATCCTAGCTGTCTGAGAGAAACACAGAAAAAGAGAGGGAAAGTGAGATAGCAAGCTGCCAGGTATGGAACTCGAACCTTGGTTGACCTTGTGGCAGTCCAAGGTTCGTAACCACCACACCACCTGCCGGCCCCATGTGCGTTAGTATTTTAAACATCACATTTCAGAGAGGCTTTACTGGAAGTCTAGCTACCAACAGTTGGTTTCTCTCACTGTCTCATGAACACTGCAGAGTCTGCACCAAACACACCTTATACTCACATTCCCACTACCCTGCAAAGGAGGCCGGGCAGGGATAATTATGGAGGCCCTCAGTGGTGAGGACAGGTGCCCAATGTCACCAGCCTGCCGAGAGAGGACTGGCCAGGGGAGGCCCGAGCCATCTCTGTCCAGGGCTCTTGCTAACACCCTTGCTACTTCTCCAGAAGCATCCATTTCCGGGTCTGCATTTGACAGTTTTTGAGTGCTAACAGAAGGTCCAGCCTTGTGTCAGGGCATGGGTGCCCCACTTACACCTTTGTTCGTCCCCGCCCCTCCGCCCAGGTAAAAGCCAACCTCGAGAAGGCGAAGCAGACCCTGGAGAATGAGCGAGGGGAGCTGGCCAACGAGGTGAAAGTCCTGCTGCAGGACAAAGGGGACTCAGAGCACAAGCAGAAGAAGGTGGAGGCCCAGCTGCAGGAGCTGCAGGTCAAGTTCAACGAGGGCGAGCGTGTGCGCACGGAGCTGGCCGACAAGGTCACCAAGCTGCAGGTGAAGCTTCTGCCGGGACCTCCAGCCAGGCAGTGGGCCTCTGGAGTGCTTTGGTATCAGACGGGCCTGCATGCCTAGGCTCGCTCTCTCGCTCTCTCTGGCTCCTCACCATGGCTTCCATGTCTTGGCTTGTGACTCAGGTCCAGCATTGCCTGCAGGAGCCGAGGTGGTACCCCGAGCAGGGATGGCCGGGTCTGTGACCTTTCTTGCCCTCCCTGTGCAGGTCAAGCTGGACAACGTGACCGGTCTCCTGAGCCAGTCTGACAGCAAGTCTAGCCAGCTCACCAAGGACTTCTCCACACTCGAGTCCCAGCTGCAGGACACCCAGGTAAGCAAGGACTTCTCCACACCAGAGCCCCAGCGGCAGGACCCCCAGGTAAGGGCTTCCAGCTTGAAGACCAGACTCTGATCACGTGGCATCAGCACCTGTCCAAGGAGGCTGTGGGTTCTCCCCCAGTTTTTATGTGGCTGTCCCGAGGCTGTCCCTCCTTTGAGGGGTGTGGGGGTCCCTGAGGCTCTGATGTGCGTCTCCTAAGCACCCACAACCCCTTGTCCTTGGGAGTAGGAGCTGCTGCAGGAGGAGAACCGGCAGAAGCTGAGCCTGAGCACCAAGCTGAAGCAGATGGAGGACGAGAAGAACTCCTTCAAGGAGCAGCTGGAGGAGGAGGAGGAGGCCAAGCACAACCTGGAGAAGCAGATCGCCGCGCTCCACGCCCAGGTTGGGGGTTCAGAGCTGAGGCCGGATTCTGTGGGAGGGACATACCAGCACACAGCCTGCCATTGACTGGTCCCCACTAGTCCCCCCACCGGGAGCTTACTTCTGCACTCACTAGACCAGGGACTAGGGCTTTGTGGAATCCAGAGATCCATGAACTTAGATGAGGGCATAGCACGTCTAAGTTTTCACCAGGCCCTAGCCTCAAATAAGCCTATGTTGGGACCAGCAGTTAGCGTAATGGCTGTTGCTGGACTCCCACGTAGTTGACAGCGGTTCGAGTCCTGGACTCAGTGGCTTAAACTCACGCCGGGTGTGTTTGCATGCGTGCCCAAGATCCCAAGAGGAGAATGGAGGAGAAGGGATTGCGGCATGGCCATCCTCCCTGGGGGGTGATTTGTCGCTTTCTGTCTCTCTGTCTCTCTCTTTCTGGCAAGCGCACGCACCCTATAGCAAAAACCTCTCCAAAAAATAAAAATATTTTTAAAAATTAAAAAAAACGCCTATGTCCCCATCGTGAACCAACGTGATGAACCATGGTAGCAGGAGTACCTACCTGGGTTCTGTCAGAGAGGGAAATCTCTGGTCATTACATCATAGCTATGGCTGGACTCCCCACTTCAGTATCATCAGCCCAGTCCTTCCTGAGGCTTACTGGCTGATGTGCTGAGCAACCCATGGGTTATAGTACCACTGCGTTGTCCATAATTAGTTGGCTTTGCAATTCTACATTTTATCTTTTTTTGAAGAGGTTTTTGCTATAGGGCGTGTGCACTCACCAAAAAGACAGAGAGAGAAAGAGACAGAAAGCGAGAAATCACCCCCCCCAGAGTGGGGGGGTGAGGAATGGCCATGCCGCAATCCCTTCTCCTCCATCCTCCTGTCAGGATCTTGGGCGCGTCCACACACCCCCAGCGTTAGTTAAAGCTGCCATGTCCGGGACTCGAACCATGGTTGACTACATGGGAGTTCAGCGACATAGCCATTACGCAAACTGCTGGTCCCCAGCAATCCTACATTTTTTAATGCGTTTTTTTAATTGCCAGAGGGCACATAATTTTGCTGGAAGGAGACAGGGGAAGAAGAGAAAGCACCCCTCCTCAGTAGAGGGTAGTCTTGCCACAGTCCCTTCTTCATGTCTTCTTTTGGGAATTGGGGCACACATACACACACATTCCTGGCATGTTCCTCAGGCCACCAGATCTGGGGCTAGAACTGCAGTCAGTCATGTGGGAGGCAGCCACCTTAACGACCACACCACTGGCTGGCCCTATCTTACACATATTGAAACACTATCGTAAGGAGTCAGGCTTGTCTAAATTCTCAGAGGATCCACAGCCAAATATCCTAAGAGCCCCTGTTCTATATCCTGTCTTGGGACTTCTGTGTGTGAGGGCAGAAGTCCAGAATCGACTCAGATGGTTAAGAGTGTGCCCACGGTCTAGAGTGGCCGGCCTGCTTGAGTGCTGAGGTTTACCTGCAGATGCAAGGCCAGGGCTGGGTGTGGGGTCTGCCCTTCCTTCTGCTTCCCATAGAAGGCACTGTGCCTGCTCCCTGGGAGAGGTGAATGAGGCCTCCCCTGTGGGCTCTTTAGTCTTTGGGAAGTTTGCTATAGATGAGGAGGGAGAGTTCAGCCATAGCGGGCCTGTGGGGCCAGCCTTCCTTGGCTGCCTGCAGGGACAGCCTTCCCCGGCTGCCTGCAGAGCTGTTTCTGTAATGGGTGCAGCTGGTCAGACCATGGGTGTCCCAGGGACAGGCACACTACGTGAGCAGGTGCCCTAGGGTGTTTCTTGACTGCTTGCACCCACCCAGGTGGCCGACATGAAGAAGATGATGGAGGACGGTGTGGGGTGCCTGGAGACGGCAGAGGAGGCAAAGAGGAAGCTCCAGAAGGACCTGGAGGGCCTGAGCCAGCGTCACGAGGAGCAGGTGGCTGCTTACAAAGAGCTGAAGAAGACCAAGATGCAGATGCAGCAGGAGCTGGATGACCTCCTGGTAGACCTGGACCACCAGTGGCAGAGTGTCTCCAACCAGGAGAAGAAGTGGAAGTTTTACCAGGTGCCCTTAGGCCTGACCGCAGTCGTGGGTGGCTGAGTTTTATGAAGCCCAGAGTCAGCTCCCGGTCTCACTCACAGGGGACTGTGAGAGGCAGTGCTGAGGGTCCCCTGGGTCTGCAACCTGCTGGGGTCTGGAAAGAAAGCTGTTGGAGAAGGTGTCTTTACACGACATGCGGAGGGGACACTCTAACCCTTGATTTTTCCCCTTTGGTTTTCTACAATGGACTGGTTTTACAATCATTTAAAAGTTTCTGTCTTGTGTTCCTATTTCACTCATTCTCTGAGATCTGAGGAAGCTTACAGAGATGCAGACGTTGGGGCCGATAGAACAATGGCATGACCTGGGGACAGCAGGTGTGGCCGTCTGGGCCACTGCATGTTGTAGGCAGGGACTGTATGAAGACATCTGTGTTTCAAAATTTCTGTACTCCTCTGGGCGCATTTGCATGGTGGCGCCAGGTTTAAGGGCTGCCATAGAGACTATGGCCCACTGGGTCACAGAACATTCTCCCAAACCCTTGGTGAGAACTGTGACCCACCCACAGAATGGGAAGGTAGGAAAAGACACAGGCAGAGTGGGCCAGTGCAGTGACCGTACCCCAGAGGGACAGGAGGGTCGTTAGTGGAGGGCCACAGTGGGACTGGCTGATAAGCAGTCAGGCTCAGAGTCCCCTCATGGGACCTGCAGGGCTGCGACAAGCAGAGCAAGGAGAAGAAGCAACAGCTGGTCAGACCGGCGAGTGCATCCCCACAGCCCAGAGGTGGGCTAACTTCTCTGCTGCCTCCGCCTGGCCCATTCCTCCCAGGTCCTTCCTTTCAGTCCTGTGACCCGGGGGTCAGCGGCTCACTCCTAGAATGTGGTCAGTGGTCTTCCTTGGCACCCGGGGACCTACAGACCTGGCCTGCACCCACCTGGCTCATGGGCGCGGGCTCCGTGTGCCAGGGCAGCCTCCTGAGCTGCTTCCTTCCCCAGGTGCGGGAGATGGAGGCAGAGCTGGAGGATGAGCGGAAGCAGCGCTCATTAGCAATGGCTGCTCAGAAGAAGCTGGAGATGGACCTGGTCTTGCAGGAGGGGCTGGGTGTGACTCACAGTGACCTCCTGTGCACTCTGAGACAACTTCTGCAGAACGGGTCCAGGTCTCACCACCTAGCTGTCCTCAGATCTCTGGTCACGTCCAGATTTCCTCACGGCACACCATAGCTGTCATGCCCTAGTTAGACCCCAACCTCAGCAGAACAAGAATCTGCTGTCCCAGAGTCTGTGCTCAGGGTTCCAGACCAGATGCAGATGGCCGGCATCCTCATTTGCAAAACACCATGTGAGTGGCAGTGAGAGCCCACCACCACCATTGCCAATTGTCCACAGAAAGCCTACTCTGTGGGTCTGGCCTCGGCATCCTTCAGGCAGGTCCCAGAGCAATGCCTTCACTCCTAGGCCAGGTTGGCTGTTGAAGGAGGCCCTTCTGAGTCCCACCTGTAGGGCAGCTCCAGCCTGGCACGGCTCCATCCTGTCTTTTCTGTTTGCAGTTTTGGGCTGGCCTCAGCTCAGTAGCAGGTTCTTTTTCCAGGATAACCTGTGGTCTCTGGCTGCCCTGTGACCCCGGGGTGCCCAGGTCTTGTTCAAAGGGATTTTCTCATCAATGAACGTGGCCCAAGGGAGAGTCTGGCATTTCCGCAGTAAAGCTGTTTCTGAGCCTGAGCCCCAGGCGGGAGCACGGGACCACCTGTGTGGTGCTACACCCATCTTTCAGCCCCGGGCTCCTCCTCAATCTCCAAGGTGGCAGCTGTTTCCAGTGAGAACCAAGTTGGTTCCCTGTTAGTGCCCACCCCAGGGAGCAGACAGCAGCTGGGGGGGGCAGGGGTAGCAGGACACTCACAAGGCTGACCCATGTGGAAGGTCCCAGTTCATGTCCAGAGACCTCCTTGAACATTCTGAGTGTGTGCTGTGTCCCAGGGCTGGCCGAGACAGGAGGTGAATATGGTACAGGGACCGTGTAGAGGGTGCTGTCTCTGTGAGGTTGGGGACTGTGTAGAGGGTGCTGTCTCTGTGAGGTTGGGAACCGAGTAGAGGGTGCTGTCTCTGTGAGGTCTGGGGACCGTGTAGAGGGTGCTGTCTCTGTGAGG